GTAACTTTCAAATCTAGGCATTTAAATTCTCTATGTATTAACTTTCTAATTTTATCTATTTTAAAGTTTGTAAATTCCTCACAACCATAAGGCCATCATCCCTATACAGTCCCATCATCTCTATACAGTCCAATGTCTTTAATGTTAATTTCACGGTGTGCACTTAGATTATACAATATAAATAAACCAACAAGGTCGTGTTGTCGCGATGGATAGATATTTTTTAAATAATATAATTATATATATATATATATATATATATATATATATATATATATACGTTTCAACAAAAAAACGACTGACGGTTTTACTGCATTGTTTTTATTTGATTTTTCTTGTGTTCCGAATGTTTTCTTCTTTTCTGGACATAAATAATGTAGAAAATGTCTAAATATTATGTATATCAGTGTGGCAATTTCTATTATACTTTGTAGACATTTATCAACGATGATTTTATTTTAACTTTTAACTGAATGTATCGATTGTTTCATGTGTGTATTTAGAGTTATACAACGGTTTTATTTTCCAAACACTGCCAGTACATTGTGGCCGTGTTCATCGTTGATATTATTGAGTTTTGGCGCTTTCTTTTTATTAATAATAAAATAATAGTAATTATTTTTAATCTTTTTGACAATTATGTATATATATATGTGTGTGTGTGTGTGTGTGTGTGTGTGTGTGTGTGTGTGTGTGTGTGTGTGTGTGTAAAAGGCAGGATGTGTGTGTAACGAATGCACGGCCGCAATTTTCGACAGATTTGCACCAAAATTTACATGCACATGCTCTAAGTTAGCCGGAAGGACAAGACCGACATTGCATTTCCCAACTCCCATCGATAGTGGAAATAATCGATTTTTTTTTTTCATGCTTCTACGGCAGTTTTCATGTAGTTTGCGGCCATTTTCTACTGGCCAGAGTGAGACCTATAGCTGGCTGCCACGAATAGGCAGGAAGATTCTATTGGCCAGCGTGAGAGCCAACAACTGACTGACACGAAAGTTAACTAGCATGCTAACATGCAAAAAAAAAAATCTATAGCTGCATTCGTCACAAGTGGGAAAAATTTAAATCTGCATGGCACTTTACTCCAATTGGCTCATTCGCTTGCTTAAACTCAACGTTGATTCTGATTCCGCAGAACTGGGTTGGGTGTGAAAAAGTATTTGTTGTTAACATTCTTTTTCATTCGTTTTTTTCAGTTACGAGTCTTTTTTTAAAGCTGATCGTTTTGTGTTCATTTTGTTTAGTTCTTTTTTCGTATCAGATTTAATGTTTAGTATAGAGCTTAGAAAAAATTCGCAGTGTGAGATAGGCAAGAAGTAAGGCATGTAGCAACATCAGCACGGAAAAAGGGCAGTCCTTTAAAGGCAAGGAAGGGCAAAAATATTTTAAGTCAAGTGATAGCGATTGCTGTATGAGTCGTACGATTTTTTGAATCAAGCACGGCAACGCCGGGCCATGCTGTTAGTATATATATATATATATATATATATATATATATATATATATATATATATATATATAAATGTTATAAATTTATATATATTTAATGTGTGTGTGTTTCTTTCTTTTGATGTCAACTATATTTCTGACGTGACCACTTCCCTCTTACGCTGTAACTCCTTTTTTCAAGGAACTCATTTTTTTATTTCTTCTATCCATTTTAATGATTGCCTCGGACTCTAATTAAAAATTACCCTCACCCTAAATTAAAAAAAAATTAAATAATAAATACCTTCATCACTGGGTGAGATGAAGTTCCTGTGTTTCTGTAAACCGTCGTCCGTGAATAGCACCAGAATCGGCTGTTTCGTATCGTGGTGTTCCTTTCGCTGAGCAAAACGCACCAGAGTTCCGTTGAGTAATTCTCCCGACAAAGACGTCGCTTTTACCAGAAAGCCTAGAACGGAACGAAAAAAAAAAAAAATATAAAAAAATTAAATCATAAATAAAATTAAAGTTTTATAAAATATAAAGTAGAGCCCGGCGTTGCCTGGGGATGTAACAATAAGAGATAGATCAAGTATCGACCATCATAAAGACTGAAAAATAAAATTGACAAAGATTATTGTTTAAGGTTGACGGACAAGAAGAAATGAAAAGTTTTCTTAATTTTCTTTTTTTTTTTTTATTTTTACGAATTGGTCAAACCCAAACTCAGCTCGAAAACAAAACATTGTTTTCAATCGTTATGAGTCTACCGATTGAATAGAATTTTATTATAAACAATTGTCTTTTAAATGGAATTTTTAAAGCATTCTGAATGTAAAAAATAAAGAAAAAAGGGTGCAAGACAATAAGAAACACTAGGAAAATTGGTTTAAAAAAGTGAAGTTTTGTTGAAATCGGATTTGAAAAATGTAGGAAATCCGAAAGGATATATAAACGAACACACACACACAAAAACAACCTGGGTTTTATAATAATGGTTTTATAACTCGATATGAGTTGTCCCCCTTTCATTCTCGCGATGCATCTTAATCGTGTTTTCAAATTG